AATTTATGTGAGTTTACGAGCTTTAAAAACAAAGTCTTGTAATGATGAATAAATTTTATTGCATCTAATAAACTGAGAATAGTAAACATTGTAACCTAACTTGTTACAAGAATAGTTTTTGTAATAGAAAGTTTATAACTTCAAAGATGAAAGTGTTCAATATATTTAAAAACTATAAAATTGAATGTGCAATCGATGATGGTGATATCTTAGCACAAATAATAAGCTTTGTTTTTGTGTAAGAGCTATATCTTATCTCCACACTCACACTTTTTTTTATCTTCACTACTATACCATAACATCTCTTCTGCCATATAATGGATATCTCTCCATATAATGTAGATCTCAGCTACTTTTTATATTACCATGGATAGTGTGGTATATCCACACCATACATGATGTCCACAGGGATCTGAATTTCTCAGACAAATATGAGTAGTTATGTCAAATAACCAGTGAACTTTTGCCCTGTTGTAAAATATACAATTATATCCCATTCAGATTAAAAAGATTATATTTGATCATCCATACGAGCCATTTTGCCAAAACATCAAAGTGTGTGCGATATGGGACACACTTCTTCACCACAACCAAAACTTTATATAATTTGATAAATAACTGGATATTGAAATTAGCCCCTTGATTTATGTAGATTTCGCCAAGTGCTTTGAATCATACTATTCAGCTAAATTGTAGGGTGTTGACATAGTGACCAATGGATAAGTTTGGCCTACTTGGTGAAGTAATAAATAATAACCACACACGAATTACCTCATTCAGTTCCCAAGAGGGCCAGCTATATCATGGGATATTCTGTGCAATGGAGAACCAAAACTCTCTGATGTAGGTTACCTTGTTTTGGATATTTATTTGTCTAGGCAGTACATATAGTACAGTGTTTGCACCATTACTCAATATATCAAAGCAAATGCGACCAGACAGACTGCTTTTGCATGCTAGCACATGTATTATACAAATCGAATGCCTTAAAGGTCTGGGGACCACCTACCTGTATCTCAGTGATTTATAACAATACTGCAGAATACCCTCCTTCACTTATAACTGCTTGTAAATATGTGACAAGTTATGTGACCACAGAACCATAACTTAGCTGTGCCACAGGTTTCTCTTGCGTGTAATTCATATAACAGGTCCATCCCTGAGATATTATGTTTCAGCCAAGTTCTTCGAGTAACCTCACCACTTAACTTCATTGTTGGAGTGATTTGTTTTTCAAATATTAGATATTGTTTTGCCTTAAAAAACTCACTCGGTCTTTGATAGAAAAGCAAAGGTCGCAACACCCTTTCAGTTATTGATTTTTAAATAACATGATCACCCTAACTATCGATAATCGAATGATAATCCTACAATTTAGTACACACACACATCACATCTCAATAACTTTCAATGGTTTGGAAAGCAAGGAATGCCACTATCTTTTAGTCCACGATCATGCAGATAAGCAACTGTTCTATCTGTTAATAATCAACTAGAAATCATGCAGTGTAAAGCATGCACAACATTTCACATCATCACTCAAGGTTAGGAAAGTAATGGTTGCTACACCCTTTCGGTTGGTACTCTTCCATCTACATGGTCATCCTAGCTTTGATGATCGAGAAGTAACTCTACAAAGTAGTGCATACACTGTGCTTCTAATGCTTCTCGATGGCTTGGAAAGCAAGGGTCGTGACGACCTTTTAGTCAGTAATGTCTCGACAACCTGACCATCCTAGCTTTGATGATCAATTCCAATCATATCAATCAAGAGTCGTCACTGGTATTTCGTCTGCTAGGGCCCCCCAGTGGCACAGCGGTATGTCTGCGGACTTACAACGCTAGAAACCGGGTTTCGATACCCGTGGTGGGCAGAGCACCGATAGCCCATTGTGTAGCTTTGTGCTTAACTACAAACAAACAAACAATCGTCTGCTAGGAAGGTGCTCCCATTTGCATCACAACAACACTGGTAATAACTTTAATCAAACATCTTTATTTACAAAAAACATGTTTGCTAGAAATTATTGTCAGTTAGTTTTATTGGGGTTTAATGGCATAGAAACCATAAATCGGTATATATATATACCATAATATGTTTTATATGGTTTATTGAATCGTCAATAAAATATCTTTATTTAATGTAAAAGAAAAAAAAAAGCAGCTTCTGGGGGTTCTTATTATGGGACTCTTTCATTAGTTGTATCCTTTGTACGTGGCCCCCTAGTGGCACAGCGGTATGTCTGCGGACTTACAACGCTAGAAACCAGGCTTCGATACCCGTGGTGGGCAGAGCACAGATAACTCATTGTGTAGCTTTGTGCTTAACTTCAAACAAACAAACCTTTGCACATGTGCACTAAACACTAACATTGAATTAATTTCTTAGAACAACTTGAATCGGAGGCCTAGGTTTATTAACTCTGAAAATATAGACATTAATTATAGTATAAAATAATAACTCATTAAATGCTAACTGCTACATTTTAATGTTTAGCTAATATATACACAAGTTCTAGGAAATTCAAGGCTTAAAATCTACATTCGAATATTTAATAATTACTATGAGCTCATGGCTGTATTTGCCTTGTTTTATTCATTGTAGTACCTTTGGACAAGTATAGCATAGCCAAGTCATCTCGTGTATACGTCAAATCGGACACTCACGCCCAAGTAATAAAACTAGGAAACATAATTTAGTTGTTTATATTCAGAAATATCTGAAGTAAACAGTCAACAGAAACGATCTATATATGCTCAGCAATTTAGTACAGCTTACACAAGGTAATATATTTCTCATCACCCGCTCTTTGTTTTGTAACCGAATAAAACTAATTGAATAGAGAAAACAGAAACGTTACACAAGACCAGCCATGGCCTAAACCCTGCGTTAATTCTTCATATATTGTTTTTTTTTGCTTCCTTTTAAATCACATAAAATTACTTTGACTGTTTATAGCATCATAAGATTCCTTCAGCTAATCGAATCACAGGTGATGATTACCTTACCTAACTGTTCGGTAAATAAGTATAAATGGCCCGGCACGGCCAGGTGGTTAGGGCGCTCGACTCGCAATCTGAGGGTCGCGGGTTCGAATTCCCAGTCCCACCAAACATGCTCGCCCTTTCAGCCGTGGGGGCGTTATAATGTGACGGTCAATCCCACTGTTCGTTGGTAAAAAGAGTAGCCCAAGAGTTGGCGGTGGGTGGTGATGACTAGCTGCTTTCCCTCTAGTTTTACACTGCTAAATTATGGACGGCTAGCGCAGATAGCCCTCGTGTAGCTTTGCGCGAAATTCAAAAACAAACAAAATTGTTCTAGTTCAGCCGATTTAATTTACTTTGATTCTGTTTAGTTTCTTTATTTCATTTTTACTTTGCTTTATTTAAGGTGTCATTTTTCTTTTAGTTTATTTTAGTCTTATCTTGCTGTTGAAGGCTAATTATTTTCAACAAACTTACTATTTCTTATATTTATGTAACTGTCCTAACACACTACGTATAGTCCACGGAGTTGCAATAATCTATACACTTGCCTTTTAACATTAAATTTTAAGGTTCTGTCCAAGAAAAGCCGTAAAATAAGGAAGGGACGAATTCAATAACAGGAAAACTGCATATCCATAATTAGTAAAAATATATATCTTTATAGAAGTATATTCCGAGATATTTAAAAAAAAATTAATTCAGCTATTTTTCAGACGTTATTGAAGTCCTTCTAAATTTTATGTGCAGAGGTATTAAACCTGTCCTAATCTTCAAGTTTAGAAAAAAGTTACATACTTGCTTGGCCCTGTTTCTGTTACTTCAGGGTTTGTTTAGAGATTTGTATAAATTGTGTGATTTTGGAGTTTATATCCCATAGAGGTCTCTAATGGGAATTACTGTTGTCATAGGTAATCTAAGGGTTGTGGGATACTACAGTAAGTCTCTAGTCTGACTAAACAGTGTGTTGTATAATCAGTATTCTGATTCCTGTTTACGTCTCCTTCAGACATTAAATAAAACCATTAAACAGAATAAACATGTAATATATTCTCTACATATTATAATTGTTATTATGCTGAAAAATCATTGTTTTTCAATTCACTATAACCCTACCGTTATTATTAGTAGAAAAACAAACAGATTATCTTGATATACTACTATCAATCTTATATCTTTTTGCTAACTATTAAGTTATTGTAGAAACTGACCTATGAATTGAGAGTCGCTAAAGATGACGAAATACCATCGACGAACTGCAAAATATATTTGTATTTACATATACGTTGATTGATATTTATAAACAAAATAAAAGGGAATTTTATTCCTTGCATTACTCCCACAATGCTATTTTACCACGCGACATTTCTGCTAAGAAACCTATTACAAATCTACGATCCGTTGTTTAGCATCCCCTAGTACTGTGTTTTCTTGCCTAGGGGGCTATGCTTTTGGCAAAAAGATAGCCTGCTATCCCTACCTCTGGACGTCGTATCCAGTCAAAACTGAGTAAGATGGGACTGACAGTAGATAACATTGCTGACTCACATAATCGGCTCATCCTTCCATGACTTATTATCATTCTTCACTTGATCTTTTACTAAGTACCTTATAGTATTCCTACTGTAAGTACTGGCTTATATTTATCAAAACTTTTCGAGTAAATCTTTCACACCATTCTTTACTCATGACTTGAAAATCAGTTGAATCTAAGAATTCTGTCATGATGTTGTGACTCTGTTCACTGCTGATTTGTATGGAATTTCATTTGCTCTGAATCATATAGAAACTAAGCAATACCATCACTGTATTATAAACATAGACTCGCATATCTCCTTGAAGGCCTTGGAATTACTTAACATTAACTAACATTCAAAGTCCAAATTTGAATTTTATGACGATGAAAATAAAGATTATGGAAAAATCTTGTCGAAACGTTGTATAATTATGATTAAGTTTCTTTCATTACCAATTCAAACCGTTTCCAAACTTTATTCTCATTCAGAGTTGTAGAATCAACGATTAATGCAAGCGCAACAACAACTTTAAAAAATCGGTAACCAACACTACCAATATTTTTGTGCCTGCTACCAAACTTTTCCAATGCTTGAATGCTGTGTTAGCATATTTACACTTTCCCAGTCGACTTTTTACAATATTGAAAGTTCTCATTATGTTAGTATTATTCATTGGTGTGTTTTTCTGAGTATTAATTAGCTGAGATAGTAGTATATTTACATTTTTGGCCAATGAGAAAACTTCTTATCACTCCTAAACGTGATCTTCATAAGGCAGTTACTTAGTAAGTAGACGTTGCAAGCCACAAAGTCATGATCAATGTAATACGTTATCAAAAGTGAAGTTTTAAGAAGTTAAACATGTATAACTTTTTACATTTCTATATTCATCACAATACATTAGAATTTTGGGATATTCAATTATTTATTATATTTCCGAAGTGTAAAACTGATACGACTATAAATTTATTTTCGACAGTTTCTTAAGAGTTTTAGTTTTCTGAGTTTATCTAAAAGGTTTTGTTTTGTTCTTTAATATTTTATTGAACAATTTAAAAGCCTATTGAGGTAAACATATTAATTTAATTTTAACATATGAATAAACTTTATGTCAAAGAGAGCCTCAAATTTCATTTTCGAGCACTTAAAAACGCTTCAGCTTCCGGAGACTAAGCTGTCCCTGGACTCCTAATAAATTTTCCCCATCATGGGTGCACCATCAGCTTAATGTGTAACCCTACACTCCTTATATCTCAGAAATTGACAAACTACTGTCAAGTTTATTTTTAACTTCTTTATCTGTCGATTTTCACTGGATTCCTGGCCACGTTGGATTTTGGAGTAACGAGCTGGTTGAAACTGAAGTCATATCGGTTTCCTCTGTCACCGTATCTTAATCTGAGGCATGCAATCTGGGCGGAACTTGATGTCAAGTGTCAGGCAATTTGATATTATAATAAACTTTTCCTGATCAAGCCTACCATTAATGTTTGGTCGTCTGTTTCAGAAAAAGTTCATTTACAGTTTTAGCAAAAGTGTAAACAAGTGACTGGTCATCTAGTTTGCATAAAGACTGTAGAAAGGTTTTACCAAATTTCCATATTGGCCATAGTTTTATTGTTATTTTGTTGTTCTTTTTACTGTATTATACCTTCATGCTCTCGCTATTGCACATAGCTGTTTTAAACTATGGTGTCCCTTTGACATTGAGAAATGTCATTGAAAATTACTGTCCAGATTTATCTTGTATTTAACTGCTTACTGATCGGCCATAAGCCTTCTTAATTTGTTTAATGTTTTTCATATTTTATTTATTATCTTACTTTTATTCTATAAACTTACATTTTACCTTTGATTGATTTTGTTTCTTTGTTGTTTTAAAGAAAATAATTGACTGTTGCCAATATTCTTCGAAACAATTATTTCTAAATAATTTGTTGTTGTTTCAGGAAAAAAAAATGTTGACGTAAATAACCGTTGTTGTTTCAGAAAAAAAAACTTTGACGTAGATAACCGTTGTTGTTTCAGAAAAAAAGTTTGACGTAGATAATTGTTGTTGTTTCAGAAAAAAAAATCTTTGACGTAGATAACCGTTGTTGTTTCAGAAAAAAAAAATCTTTGACGTAGATAACCGTTGTTGTTTCAGAAAAAAAGTTTGACGTAGATAATTGTTGTTGTTCATGTAAAAACAAAACAAACTAAACGGCAACAGTCAAGTAACTTTCGTTTTTCTATAATAATATATTGTGAATTCTAAAATTTTAAACATTTTACAAACCAGCTAAATCGTACTGTCAATAGTGAACATATTTTTCAGCGAGGGTAACAGACAGTGCAATTTACAATATTTTTTTAATACCTTTATTTTTGTAATTATCATAAGGTTTTATCAGGGATACGAAACAGCACTATACGCTTTCAGCAGAAACAATAACGCCAAATCTTGGAACAATCTGAAATAGTTTTTCTTTCATCATTATCTTTTCCTGTTCGTAAGCAAAAGTAAAAAAAAAAAGTATTAGAATATGTAAGAAGTTAAGACTTTTTTAGTTTATATATATAAATCTGACACAATTAGTAATTACAGGAAAATGAAATATAATGTTAGCACATAAATGTTTACATGATGATTTTGATCTATTAAAAATCGTAATTATTTCAATGAACTGAAATTTTTTTTTTGTGTTAATACGTACAAATAATTCACTTACGTTCTCAGTTTTCTCGTCCGGTTTTAAAATAAAATACCGAAGTATCTGAGCCACAATAATCTTCATCTCTAATAACGCAAACCGTTTTCCTATACAGTTACGTGGGCCTTCTCCAAAAGGTTGATAGACCATAGACGTTGTTGGTTGGCTTTCGTTAGGAGAAAACCTGACAGAGCAGAAAAAAAGTCAGTAGTTAATACTAAATAATTAATATCATAAGTATAAAATATAAATTAATATCATGTATAAACATAAACCCGTTGGACGTTAAATAAGCACCATAAAGACGATATAAATAAAACCCGAACTGTTTCAAAACTTTAATATTAACTATAATCACAGATTGATTGTGATTATTACTTTCGTTAGTATTAGCAAAAGACGTGACTTTACTAATTGTTGTCAGGTTATAAGGTAAATCTGGCGAAAAAAAAACAACACATGGATGGTTGTCTAATATGTAACCGAAACTATTCAGACAAACTCACGAAGGATTTTGTACCAATTTGTTCATCTTAAAATATATATCTTAGAATGAAAATGTTTACTGAAGTTTGGTAAATTGACCACATTTATGAATGATATTCTGTAAAAATGTTCACTGTATTCATTGTAATATATTTTGTAACAAATATATGAGTTACAGTTTACTTTGTTTGTTTGTTTCTTAGTCAGTTAACCACAAAACTACACAACGTGCTCATGACGGGTATCGAAACCCAGTTTTTAGTGTTACAACTGCGCAAACTTATAACTGTGCCACTAGGGTTACAGTTTACTAACGTTTAGTAAGATCAACATGTTTTAGAATATAACTTCATATTAACGTTTATTAAAGTTTAATGATTTTATTTCTCTTTAGCTGGAGTGACAAGTAATCTTATATTTTCTAGTGAGCACTATTGAATTTTAAGAAGCACGTTTTTTGTTTTCTTCTTCATTTTTCTTAAGTATTACTACAGCAGTTCATATATTTTTAGAATGTTCAAACCTATATGCTAACCTTTCCGGGTCAAAAGTTTCAGGTTCAGTCCAGTAATCAGGGTTATAATGAAGAGCCCATACAGGTACTTGTACAGTGGTTCCCTTAGGAATATATAATGTGCCATATCTGTAGTCTCGAATACATTCTCTATTAACAAACCTGCATAAATCATAACTAAATTAACATATTGTTTCTGTTATAAAACCATGCAAACAGTATACGTTCTAGTTTAGATAAATTACTGTACTGAATTACTTATTATGACTACAAGTAACAATAACAGTATATTGACTCAAGCCCATAGATGTGACTAGTTTTTAGGTAAAACAAACATACACATAGCTTTGAAAATAGTAATTTCTTTCTAGTGTTGTTGAGGCCAAATAGAGCATTGTCAATTATCTTATTGTTTTTGTTGCTAAATAGAATAATAAATAATTAATATAAAACTTATCAGATGTTTTTATGCTACCGGCTGTGGTTACGTAACTGTTACGTAATAGATAAAGGATGCCGACACCTGAGTCTGTTACATAATGTGCAAATTATCCCAACATCTGAGGTTTGTATAAGTGCTATGTAATAAACATCAGAGGGTGACGACGTCATAGTTCCACGAAGTGGAACCAGAGGACGTATTACTAGAGGCACGTTGCTAGGTCGCTATGAGAGGCGGAAGTTGTCATACCGCCATGACACTTGGCAACGTAAGGTGTCATGCCACCACGGAAGTTCTTCAGACAGAACATTGGAAGTTGTCTGCTATCCGAGAGCATACGTGACATTATAGTTTGAGTATTACACAACAGAGAGTGTGTTGCTAGGGTCACGAAGTGGCAGAAGAAGGCGCGTTGGTATGTTGAGCGTGCAGATAGATCAACATGACATTAACTTTATAGTAACAATCAAAGTCTTAAAATTAACAATTTAATCTAATTTGCATAATGTTTACAATTATCACAATTAAAGTTTCGCTTTATAGTAAAATAATATGCTAATTTAATTTTCAACTTTCTATAGGTTGATAGTGTTACTAATGTTCTATAGACAAATGATGCTACTAGGTTCGTAGGTTCACCGACTGGTCAATATTTTACCATATTTGCCTAGCGTACTTTTTACAACTATCCGTCGCTTTATGTATAAATCACTTCACTAATTAATTAGCTCTAACTTTTACGCTTCTATATTTAATTTGCATAACAGACTGTTTGCAATTTCTGAAGAAGTAGAATTTTTTGTGATAATATCTCTAATTATCGTGAATTGATTAATCGATAATCTTACGAACTATGCTAACATTGTCCTTAGTATTACCACTCGCCCATAAAACCTTAGTAACTCTATCAGCCTATAGAAATACCATTCAACTTTGTAAAAACGTATGTAAAAAAACTATACAATTGATCAATTAAAATATATTTTTTTACTTATAAAGCGAAACTGTAATTGTAAACATTATGCAAATAAGAATTTTAAGAATTTGATTGTTACTATAAAGTTAATGCCATGTTGATCTATCTGAGTGTTCATCATACCAACGCGCCCTCTTGTGCTACTTCGTGCCCCGAATATCACAATCTCTGTTGTGTAACACTCGAACTATGATGTCAAGTGTGCTCTCTTATAGCAGCCAACTTCCATTGCTCTGGTGGGATCACAACTTCCGCCTATCTTGGTGGCCTAGCAACGTGCCCATAGCAAGACGTCCTCTGGTTCCACTTCGTGGAATTATGACGTCATCACCCTCTTGTAAATCACTGTTTGTTAATCTGTTATTACGATAATTGCCATTAGAACGCAATGTTATAAGTGAGTGAACATGGTGCTTAAATTTCCATTTCGATATATTCCAGAATGAAGCCTCGAGCCTTTACATAAAGCGTGTACCAACATTACAACAACAACTACTGATTTACTGGATTTTACATGCTTTAACTCAATAAAATTAACAAATAATTTGGTTATTAGGTTGTTAGTGGTACCTAATAAGACTGAACTGACCTGCTTTAAGTTTCATTACTAGTCAAACAGAAATGTAGATTTAACACATACAGGAAAGGAAAACCAAGTGTAAAAAGTTACCATTCATTTATTGAAAATTCACTCTATAAGATTAATTTATGATAACTGTTGTTCTTGTCAAATCTTGTCATTTCGTGTGTTTAAAAGAGTGAAAATTAAGTGCAAGATAAGCATTAATTTTGAGAATATGATTCGTACATTTTAGAATAATTTTTATAATTTATTCCTGGAATGTCCAGCGGTTACGAAAGACGTTGCACAGGGCGAAACTTGTATGTTGATAATTTCTAAAATGATAAACGGGCGTGTCCGTGTGTGTGTGTGTGATGGACATAGCTTCAAAACGAAAGAGCTTAGAAACCTGAAATTTTGCACCCATACTAAGTAGACACTGAGGGTGTGCACCTGGGTATTATTACTTATTCACGTGCGTGCGCATCTTTTTAATGAGGTAAGCTAGCAAAAATTCACGTAGAAAAGAAGTGGTTTCTTATATAACAACTTCTAATATATAGAAAAGCTAGTGCGTTTTGGTAACAATGCATTCCAACAATGGCTTCCATGTCATGTTGCTCAGCAACAAAAGTATAACCTAATATTGTTCTTAGTCTATATACTGAACGTACAAAATGAAATGTATAAACTACAAAATTGAAAAACATAATTGATGATTTCTTTATTTAGAGTCTCCATTGAATAAAGAGGTTTTTTATTGTCTGTTTTTATTATTTAAGTTTACAATTGGATTGATATTTTTACTTTTATGATAAATCCTATGCACTTGGCCCTAGGTTAGGTTATCTCACATTATGTCTTTACTTTAGGCTTATCTATTAATTTCTTTAGTTCATACCAACATTCACTACACTTACAAGGTTTCAAAGAAACCCCATTTACGGCCTTCTTGCACCTGCATCACTAAAATCTTAATAGATTCTGATGAAATGTGATAGAAATATGTGAAATCCAATATAAATGTGAAATATTCAATGCAATGATAAAATTCATTGATAATAAATGATTTTTAATTTACTGCACCTTCTTTACGACCTTTTTATGTTTAGGCCAAGTAAAAATTTTTAAAATATTTTTGACTGTTCTTCTATGCTGAAATAGGTTCAGAATACACATACTGACATAGTCCTCTAGAATATATCAACCTAATAACCCTAGCGAAGCCGGGTACTTTCGCTAGTTATTAATAAAATATTAATGTGCCTAAGAGAGTAATTATGAAATGGATTCCAATATCATAAGATTTCTTATTGCAAGGAAAAATAAAGCTTAACAGGGATTTTAGAGAAGTTTACTTTTGACTTTATCCTGAGTTATTTTGCAAATATAAAATATATTAGAAAGCCTATGATTTGGTCTGGTATGATGGTCTGATACTTAAATTTCACAATTTCATAATTAGTACAATTATTTCCTGTTGGCTTCCTCGATAGCCTGTGGACTAAGTTCCTACAATGTTGTGTCTTTCTAATCTTTTTATTTGACACAGGGGGAGACGTTCTTCAAAGCTCCAATTTTAGTACATTACATTCTTTATGTTGAAAAAATTAAATTTCACCCTTTAGGTTAAATGCATAAAGTGTTTGCAATAATAACACTCTCTGCAATACATATCACTGCGCTTATTTACTGTTTAGCTTATTGTTCTGTGGTTCAGTTAAGTTGCGCCCACATCAAAATGTCGTACCCCACTGTTGGACACTCTACATCTTATTCTTGGTTCAAAATGGTTGGTGATGGTGATATAATTCATATAGTTGGTTACTGTACTCTTTTCATACCTTCAGTCAGGTCCTCTTCCATTAGTCCAGGTAGCAGGATTCATGTTTCAAGTCATTAAGTCCCAGCTCCATCTTACTTGTCATACTAGTGACATCCTTTTTATTATTTGATTATCTTGTTTTTCATGGTAGCAGAGTATAGTAAAGAATGAGCAGAAACTCGATGAACTTTGATTGGTAGGAGTTAAGAATGCAGAATAGACTAATTCTAAATCTTCAAGGCACCCTCAGGTGACGTAAAATAAATTAGCCTTTGATCAACCATCAATAAACACACACGCACGAATACATATATATATATCTTTGAAGTCCATACTGCCCTTTCTGCATTTTCCAGTCAACCAGCAAAGGTTTTCTGGAGGATATAAATCCTTTGAGGACTTCTGGCAGATCAGGTACAATTCAATGTGTCGGCTGTAGAGCAAACTAGCTAGATCTTTGTGTCTAATCTCTTGCAGCCTTAACACGGCAGCATGTCTCAGGTAAGTGATGGGCCATACATGATATCAACTATAACATAACCTTTCACCTGAAAGTCAACAAGTTTTGGAAAAGGCTGGTATACCATTATCAAGTATGGGAGACGGTCATATCAGTCCAGTTCAGTTTAGCAAATGTAGTCACCAAAAGCTTCATTACTTGCACTATATATTTGATCAGAGTATCAAACCTAAAAATAAAAATGAAAGTGCAGTGCTCAGCATAATTTGAAATACAACAGTCTGTTGAAATTTGCTCTTTTGTTGATAAATATCTTCTCTGGGGCTCTTAAGTAGGTAATTTATTTCTCAGCATAACTACTCCAGCCTGAACAGTGGTGTTGGCAAGAGGATAAGTTTTGGCCTATTTCGTAAATTAATTGATGCAAACCAGCGTATCGTTATTATCTATTTTTGTCTCTATTTGAGTATGACAAAAAGTAACAACCAGCAGCTCCTTCTTTGCATACAATAGAATTACTTTACCAGGTTTAGTTTTCTGCTAGTATGTGTGATCAATGTACTATATTGTACTTAAGGCATTGCTGTTCCAGAGGTACTGATACTAGTGTTGAGGTCTAGGGTGAATGGAAAGGAGAGAGAGGTCTTAACAAAACTTAGATCATTACTGATGAATTAATTATAACACGTTTCCTTGAGTGTAAAGTTTGGTCATAGTTTTCACTTCACTTGAAGATATATATATGGCTTAGTTTATATAAAAGTATACTACATATTATTCGTGAAGTATCTGCAGTATTATGTGATGTTGAGAAAGAGGTGGTGAGAATTGTCTAGACAAGTCGAAAGAATATCACTCATTTGGATCAAGAAATGTTTTCATTATCCGTCATGGAATTTCATCTCCTTTAGCCATTCATGACTAGTTGGTGCATCACAGTGCCCAAATAGCATAATCTAGTATTCATATAGATTGCCCCTTACTGCTGGAAGTGCTGTCTTTTGTTATCGTCTTAAAGATAACAAACAATAAGTAGTGTATTGTTAGGTAGAAGTTGCTGATCCATGGAAAATCCTTTGTCACGTTCAGAGATTTACTTGTCTATAATAGCATAAATGTGAATATACAGATCACTATGTTCAGCCTCTAAATAACGGTATAGAATCAAATCAAACACCTTATGACAACTGTATTATACCATTACACAGTAATTGGACTATTTCTGTGATAGCTATGTCCTTCTTTGGCTATGGTAAATGACTTAGTGGCTGTTTGGTGGCATAGTTTTGGTATTGATGTGGTGATTATCTGGTTCCATAAATACATTGGCAAATCCTTCAACTTCTTCTGAGATCCTCATGCTAGAGATTGCAAGCTCTCTTGTAGTTCTCCACTAGTTGATTTGAGTATGCCAGGAAATCTACTTTTCTTATTGAACATAGGGCAGCCAAATAAATGTTCAACTTCAACCTTAGCCCACCACCTATCCTTCTTGCATTGCTCTAATTATCATTTCTTGGGGGAAGGCTATCCTTATGACTTTCTCTCGTTGTCATTATTTTGTTATTAATTACTAACTAGTCTTTATGTCAGATAATCAGATATAAACAACACACAAGAAAAAGAGGTACAGGAAAAGCCTTCTACATCCACATAATTGATAACACAATCATCCAACCTAAAATAAATGGTAGAAAACTAGGATACCTTTCTTGCAAACATTAAAAATCAAGTAGTTGATTAACCTACTAATGGAGAAGGCCTCAGAAAAGCGAAAAGCCTCTCTATTAAGAAGATTAAATTTGAATCCTAGCCACTACTACCACATAAATAGTCATTGTCAGAATTTCCCTCAAGATGGCAGCAGATTAGCAGCCACAACAAAGGATAAAAAGTAATTAGTGATTAATAAAAAACAGTAAATAATAAATAATTCAAATTGGGTTATCATATAGGCTACTAACCAAAAGAATGATTTATATCCAGTCGCCAAAACTTTACAATAATTACATAAAAGTTGTTGTAGTATTGTGCTTGAATAAAAAGCAGTGGGCTTCATTTGTCAGCTCCGTAATTGCTTACTTCATAGAAACATCTTGATGTTTGAAAATATTGTAATCTCCAAGACCCACTGTCAGCCCTTCTAAAATATTCACAGCTTTATTTTCAAAACGGACAGTTGTAGCTAGGTCCCTTAGCAGCAACTGGAACTTTTCTAATGGTCCTTCTTCTAACTCCAATATTTCCATCATTATTTCTCACAGGCCTAGTATACTGTGTAAGATAAAAAAGGCTTCTTCAGTGATCTTTTTTTTTGGGGGGGGGACTAGATTTGTTGCATCATATTATATTTTGGTTTTCATAGCTATCATCTCATAGTCATTACTCTTAGTCCCAGCAAGAGCATCAGCATGTCTGAACTGTCTAGGTTCAGGAAAGTCATTTTGCCTTCTTTATCAAACCTAATGTTGGTTTTGATTACTTTATAACTCACTCATTAATATCACTTACATTTGCCCATATTACATTCCCCAAATTTCTCCCCAGTGGAGCCTGTGATTTTAGTTTATTTGCAGGAATGAAATACATTCAGGTTCAAATCAACCATATCAGAGGAAACCAACATGGAAAGACACATGACTAAATTATATCTGCAATCGTTCCAGAGACTTACACCTATATATATATTATTATTAGGTAAATATACAAATTATAAAGCCCAGCACCCATTAATCCGTAACATGTCTACATCTCAAGAAAAGAAAAGGAATGAAAAATGATAAAAGCATTGTAATAGCTTGAATATTTAGAACTATTTATGCGTTAACGTTTTGCACCTTACATTTTTCAAACTGGGATAAACATTATGATATGGTAAATTAAAAGACCCAAGAGTGAATAAGCGGAGAAAGATAGATCATACATTTAAAATACAGAGAGAATTAACAAGGTCTTAATAAATGTCATTTTCTGTTAAGTATTAAAATAAAACAATCACAAGAAAACTATTTTAATAAATAGTAAGGCAAGAAATGTGACGGAGGTAAACTTACGCTGGTACAGGAGGATACATCCTCAAAACCTCACTTAGCACTTGGTCTAAATATTGAAGTTTCGATATGCTGCTGTAGTCCAGAGCTTTCTAACCAATATCATAACCATGAAAAAAAAAAGATCTATTAGGGTTAACATTCAATGTGCTTTCTAACCAATATCATAACCATGAAAAAAGATCTATTAGGGTTATCATTCAATGTGCTTTGTAACCAATATCACAACCATGAAAAAAAGATCTATTAGGGTTATCATTCAATGTGCTTTGTAACCAATATCACAACCATGAAAAATGATCTATTAGGGTTATCATTCAACGTGCTTTGTAATCAATATCACAACTATGAAAAAATATTTATTGGGGTTACTCCTTAATGTAAATTGTACCTACAAGGTAGACTATATTATATTTAAAAACAGATATAAAAATCAGCAAGCTACAAATTAATATTGTCATCTGATTGTGAATATCTTGAGCAAAAATCAAACGTGTATTCAAACACCTATTTGTTTGAGAGACAGTATGTTCCTATGAAACTATAACCTCGTACATTGCTTAATGCGATTCTAACCTGCGAATTTCAGGTTATGGTGTTTTCGTTGTATACGCATTAAAACTATATTTATGAATTAGGCTATTTGTTTTTTTTAATTTTGCATTATATTTATAATAGTAAAATTATTTATTACTGAGTATAGTAGACATTTTACTACTTTGCAGCTTAACTATTTTGCAAACTTTCAAATAATATTATATTTAAAAATAAAATGATTTTATGAAGTTAAATTATATTCGCCTTTTCATTCGTGGAAGTGTTATAATGTCAATCTTAACATTTGGTAAAGCGTAGTTCAAGAGCTGGCGATGAGTGGTGTTGACTAGCTGCTTTCAAAATTAGGGACGGCTAGCGCAGATAGCCCAAGAGTAACTCTGCGCGAAATTCAACAAAAAAATAAACAAACAATATTATAGTAGTCCAATGCAAACGTTCGGCATCAATATTACATATTGTTCAATAGCTCCACGTGATAATTTAACACTAATATAGAGTTTTAATTGAGTGGCTAATGATTTTAATTACATGTGATGTAACAACCATAATATGTGTTTGTTTTGTTTTGATTTCGCGCAAAGCTACACGAGGGCTATCTGCGCTAGCCGTCCCTAATTTAGCAGTTTAAGACTAGAGGGAAGGCAGCTAGTCATCACCACCCACCGCCAACTCTTGGGCTACTCTTTTACCAACGAATTGACCGTCACGTTATAACGCCCCCATTGCTGAAAGGGCGAGCATGTTTGATGTTACGGGGATTCGAACCCGCGACCCCTCAGAATGCGAGTCGAGCGCCCTAACCACCTGGCCATGCCGGGCCAGAATATGTGTGAGAAGAAACTTACTTCTTTTTCCAACACGCTGTTTATTTCCTTTCGAAGTTTTTCTTGTACTTGTGGGTGGTTGACCAAGAAGTGTGTAGTAAATCCTAGCGTGGTACATGTTGTTTCATATCTAGATCATAATAGTAAAAAAAAAACAAAGGCTTAGTAAACTTTTCGTACTTCGTATTCAGTCTTTCCTAAAAACGGTAAAATTTTTCGAGATGGCAGTAAAAATTTTTTAAATATATTTTAGTTAGTTGCCTCATCAATAAAATAGTACATTTTTAGTCAAAGACTTAAGTCGTTCGACGTTATACGTATTTCATCAATCTGTTTCAAGTTCTTTAAAAGTTAGGTATGTATAGATTTATTTCTCCAATTTTACATTTTCCTATTTTATTAGAGTGTGAAAAATCATAAGAATGAAAATGTATTTAAGGATTAAGTTTTATATAAGTTAATTACATTAACATACATAATCTCATTATAAAGGTGATCCATTATATGTGAATAGATGTGTGTCTTAGCGACCATCATCCAGAATTGGCTCTATTTCCGTTTACTATTTTTTTATAGTAACTATAAACTGTCCGACAGTGTACAAAGACTATTTTGTTTTAGGATTTTTCCCAGAGAAAGGGGATAAAAAAAGACCTTGAAATAGAGCAAATTTCTTATTATTTTATAGAACTTTGACTTCCATCACTTAAGCTTGGCTGCCTCGATTATCTAAAGTTTTATATGGTAACTGGAAATTGTCAGATGGTGTACATGAACTATTTTGTTTTAGGATTTATTCCAGAGAAAGGGGATAAAAGAGACCCTGAAATAAGACACGTTTCAACTTTTTTATAGACTTTTGGCTCTGAACTTAAAGAAACAAATATTTGATCAGTTAAATGAGTCAGTTGTTACGTTCCATAAAACAGGGTATGCAATTATCATAAAATGAGGTCATTGGCAATTTAAAAGCAAAAGAAAGAAGGATAGAGAACGCTATCTAACATTGTCCTTTATACAAATTTGGCGAGTCGAGCGCCCTAACCACCAGGCTATGACAGGCCTAATGGGTATCCTCAGTTAGTTTATCTATAGTGACAGATCCCAACTCACCCAGCCAAAAGAAAGAGCAAACAGTTCGCTAGGATCTCCGAATTGGAAATGGAATGCTGACCCATATCGGACAAATTCTCTGTAGGAGAAAAAAAGATGCTATAATAAAAAATAATATATTTTAGATTTTCATGTCATCTTTGAAAATTGCTTCCATATATCTTGTTTAATAGTATGAGAACTCTAATAAGAAATGTTGCGATTTGATCAGTAAGAAAAAGATTGCTTTACCATAGCCTTTTCGGTCGCACCATTCATTCAAGACATTAAATACAAATTATTTTATTCACTAGCGGACGAATTATCTTATCTTACTATAATGGGTGTAGAGTGTACATATGTATCTATCTATGTATTTGACAGAAAAATCCATAAAAATTTCACACTTTGGGTATTCATTAATTCAAACAATTAGAAAAATAACTACGGTATGTGCAACAACCATTACTTTATCGCATAACACAACTTTAAATAAAAATACTCTCCTGACAGCAAGAACAAGACTTTCACTACGAGTATACGTGAAGGTTTGATTATAACTTTATTGATGTGATTGGTAAATATAAAAATGGAGTTCTTAAAAAACTCTTATTTCTTTCAATAAAGTGTACCACTTTTAAATTTATAAAAACATTACAGTTTATATCAGCACAATCCGAACACTTTTCCCGTGCAGTACTTCCCCCAAAAAAATCCTTTTTTTTTTTAGAAAATCTTCTCTTTTTCAAAATTTTTCCAGACAATGTTAAACAAAGCAGAAATTATTCATTTCACTATCGGCCAAATCACCGTTTATTAAACTAAGTACATGAAATTTCTGTAATTTTTTAGCCGCATCAATCATTAAATAACAAACAATCCGTTTCGATAGGAGTAAATTAATTTTTCTCTCAAACAGAACATGACCCTTGAGGCATATCTAAGACTGGGAGGAAGAAGGTGCACAGTGTGGATTAATAAGCTTGAATTGTACTTTCGAAGATTATGCGTAGTTTTGACACTTGTCTTTGGATGTTCATCTACCATTTTTAAATGATCAGAAAACCCGTGTTTGTAGGGAAAAGCAAAACTCCCATGAATTTACGCCTTTTTAAATGCAACGATTAAACGTACACTTCATTACAAGGACAAATACTTTACAACATTCTTAACATACCATTGAATAATTTAGTTTTAAAACACTGAGAATCATTATCAGAAGTCAATTCACTCTTCGGAAAGGTCTCTAACTCATCCGACATTTGGGCATCTAGCATTAGCTGAAGCAAGTCAATTCGTTGCTCCTGAAGAAAAAAAAGAGAGAGAAAGATAATATATATTGAGTTATATAAATATTGTACATTTGTACATCAACTGAAACTTTTAAAATTTCGACAGAACTGAAAATAGACATTCACAAAAAGTCGTAAACTTACAGATTACTTTAATATTAATTTACGGAACAAAAGGTGTCCGAGTCGAAAACTTAATTTTTAAGTAACAACACTTTTTCATAAAAATGACCAGTACGAAAGTAATAAAACTAATGATAAGTTATACTATTCTACTCTAGTCAAGTGTGAAATTATTTTTAATAATTATATATTTTTTCACTTCGCACAGACAAAATTTACCTTTGGCGATTTTTTTCGTAATTTCACAACTTTAGCACATGCTTCAAGAAGTTGACCAATGGGAGAATTCCCTCGCCACATTCGGATGAGTTCAACCAGACGGCGGAATGGAATAAAAAAAGGCAATAACTCAGGAAAACACACTAAAATAGCATAGAATAAATATTTAGTTGTGAGCGATAAAACTTGATCTTTATAGACTGTTATATGGAATGTAAAAAGAAAAACAATATGGCCTGCAACCACGACTTTAACTAATGAAAACTACTACTATTACTAATGTAATTCACTCCTGAGGATGACGTTGTAACGTCGAAACATGTAGAGTCGTCATCTTTTTTAAGGCCCTAGAT